TATAACGTCGTTTCGCGACAAGATTGATAGAGTCTGGACCAATAGTGGATGAGCAGCCGAACTACTTACCTCCGACCCTGCGCCACGCTACGGAGCGGCTAAATTGAGTTTGCTATCGTCTGTTTAGTATTATATATAAATTATATATAAATTAGGTACTGTACATATAATTATATATTAATTATATATAAATTAGGTACTGTATATATAATTATATATTAACTTAATTTATTGTAACTTTATTATAATTATATATATACTTTCTGCCGTCCAGCGCCACGCTACGAAGAGTTTAGGCGAGTAAGTTGTTTACTATCATCTGTACAGTATGTAAATTAGGTACCGTAAGTCTAATACAGTACTGTAATTTTATATATTTCTTGTGAAAAAAGCATTTCTTATTCAACAGCCATAAAAATTATTTATATTAATGATGTCTCCAAAGTTCAACAAAGTCTTCGCAGAAAAATAACTTATCAGAAATCACCCGCCGTTTGGTACGCTGCTCCGCGACGAAAACAAGCTTGAGCAATGGTGATGTTGAACGGTGCACACTCGGTAAGTAATCTTACAATTTTTTGTTTATAGCATAGTTTATACAGATTATTCCCAAAAAAATTATACATATTTTAGAAATGTTGAGTCGAATTAGTTTAGAATCTATTAATTTTATGGAAGAAAACCTTTCAAACAGCCGTAGTCCGTAAACTTCACACGTGTCGGGCTGTAATTGGCAAGGACTCATACAAAATTGATTCATAAAGAACGGAACATATCTACTNGGGAACACCTCACTGATGACATCTAAGAACTTCGGATTTGTTTGCCTTATATGGTAAAAAGAGCCGTAACATTTGGCAAGAAAGTATCAACAATCCAAATTAAAAGTAAACAAAAATGTAAATTCATATTTGTATATAAAATTTACCAAATAAATTAAAATATTCAAAGTGTTGTAAAAAGTACAACACATGATTGCTTGTGAGAAAAATTTTTACACGTTTCCCAAAAGGTTAACAACATTGCAACAATGTTGGTTTTTACTCATCTGCAAGAAAAAGTTCCTTGTTATTTATGAAATCATTAATAAAATATTATTTTACTAATATTATTTGAAATATATTTATTTCAAATTTATTATTTTATTTTGAAATCAATATTTACACATCTCGAAGCATTAACAAATAAACAGTTTCTGATAATGATAAATATCCCAGTATAGCCAAATTAGTGAAATCAGCATTCCCATGAGAGAGAGGGTCAATTTCATGCTGTGCACTTTCTCCTGATAGAGCATCAGTCTTGGAAAGAATGCTTAATTCACTTTTGATTGTTAAGGAGGGATTAAACATGTATGACCAAAGCCTCACCTTGTATCCATTACAAAGGACTACTGAAATTAGTTCCCTCAGTGCATAGAAATTATCAAGAACAATTGGAAAATGAAAAGAAGTTAAAAGAATAAGAGAAACAGAAAAAAAGAGCATAGAAACATTTTGAAGAACAACAAAAGAAAGCTGTTCATAACATGAAGATTATGGAACTGCAACCAGAAAAATGTAGAAGAAAATGAAATACATGCGACAGGCCAAGTTTTGTTAGAAGCAGCAAACAAAAAACTGAAGAAGGCTATTAACAGCAGTACAAGAATGAAGTATGAGCAGCACGTGTGATGCTTATTAGGGTTAAGTGTTCAAAAGCAAGAGGAAGCAAAAAAGAAGGAAGCTGAAAACATTCCAGAATAATCTTAAGAAAAGAATATCATCTTTCATGACTGATTATTTACAGAAGCCAAAGACTTTTCAAGTATTCATGGTTTACTGGAAATACAGTAGCCACTCATTATCAGGAGACAGAAAAACACGTGATATAACCAAGTAATAAAAATTCTGGGCTTTTACTAAACAGATTATACATGCTATGGAATCGTTATTCTTTCATCAGCAAGTGTTTCTGATATAAAATAAGCTTAGTCTTTCAATCCTGAATTTTATTTGTGGTTATATCGAATTAATTGACATTTACATAAACATTGATACCATGAGCGCCCATTTAGCATTATTGTTTCTTTAACAATGACATTGAAAGACAAATATTATCAATATAAAAACAAAATATCAATTGCAATTTTATTATACAGTACTATATAAATCGCTTATTAGAAATTTGTGTAGTTTATATNTATAAAAAAAATATATTTTTATAGTTTAAATAAAAAAAGAAATAAATAATTACCTTATCATCATCATCATCATCACCACCACTATCACCATCGTCATTATGATCAATAGAATCTTCTTCCATACAACTATCACTATCACATTTTTCATTGAAAGGTTCACATTCATCTCCAATATAATCATCAGACTCATCAGTTTTATCTTCTGTATCACTTTCCACAATCCATGTAGCCTGATAATCAGATGTTCCTTTTGGAATTTTTTTTTTTAATATTTTCTCTTTTAATGTTTTCTTTTGCTGAAGTGCTGTATAAAATATAGTAGTCAGTATAGTACATATTTTAATATATATATATTTTTTATTGTGAGATCCTGGGGTGATTAATTAGTTAAAATAATACATAGTTAAATTTGAAGTAAAAAAACCCAATTTCTTTTCTCACCACCTGGAATTTTCGTTGATCTCTGACCAATAGATAAAAAACTATCGAATATCCTTACAAAATCAACAATCATTAATGTTGTTTTGAATAAGTTTCGAGAATAAATCCAAACATATGGTTATTGATACGGACATCATAAATACATCAAAATTGATTAAATTATGAGGTAAGAAGAATCACAACACCTCGCTGATGACATCTAAGAACTTCGGATTTGTTTGCCTTATATGGTAAAAAGAGCCGTAACATTTGGCAAGAAAGTATCAACAATCCAAATTAAAAGTAAACAAAAATGTAAATTCATATTTGTATATAAAATTTACCAAATAAATTAAAATATTCAAAGTGTTGTAAAAAGTACAACACATGATTGCTTGTGAGAAAAATTTTTACACGTTTCCCAAAAGGTTAACAACATTGCAACAATGTTGGTTTTTACTCATCTGCAAGAAAAAGTTCCTTGTTATTTATGAAATCATTAATAAAATATTATTTTACTAATATTATTTGAAATATATTTATTTCAAATTTATTATTTTATTTTGAAATCAATATTTACACATCTCGAAGCATTAACAAATAAACAGTTTCTGATAATGATAAATATCCCAGTATAGCCAAATTAGTGAAATCAGCATTCCCATGAGAGAGAGGGTCAATTTCATGCTGTGCACTTTCTCCTGATAGAGCATCAGTCTTGGAAAGAATGCTTAATTCACTTTTGATTGTTAAGGAGGGATTAAACATGTATGACCAAAGCCTCACCTTGTATCCATTACAAAGGACTACTGAAATTAGTTCCCTCAGTGCATAGAAATTATCAAGAACAATTGGAAAATGAAAAGAAGTTAAAAGAATAAGAGAAACAGAAAAAAAGAGCATAGAAACATTTTGAAGAACAACAAAAGAAAGCTGTTCATAACATGAAGATTATGGAACTGCAACCAGAAAAATGTAGAAGAAAATGAAATACATGCGACAGGCCAAGTTTTGTTAGAAGCAGCAAACAAAAAACTGAAGAAGGCTATTAACAGCAGTACAAGAATGAAATATGAGCAGCACGTGTGATGCTTATTAGGGTTAAGTGTTCAAAAGCAAGAGGAAGCAAAAAAGAAGGAAGCTGAAAACATTCCAGAATAATCTTAAGAAAAGAATATCATCTTTCATGACTGATTATTTACAGAAGCCAAAGACTTTTCAAGTATTCATGGTTTACTGGAAATACAGTAGCCACTCATTATCAGGAGACAGAAAAACACGCGATATAACCAAGTAATAAAAATTCTGGGCTTTTACTAAACAGATTATACATGCTATGGAATCGTTATTCTTTCATCAGCAAGTGTTTCTGATATAAAATAAGCTTAGTCTTTCAATCCTGAATTTTATTTGTGGTTATATCGAATTAATTGACATTTACATAAACATTGATACCATGAACGCCCATTTAGCATTATTGTTTCTTTAACAATGACATTGAAAGACAAATATTATCAATATAAAAACAAAATATCAATTGCAATTTTATTATACAGTACTATATAAATCGCTTATTAGAAATTTGTGTAGTTTATATTTTTCAATAAAAATTATAAATGTTGTAATTGAAAATCTTAAAAAATAAATATTGAATATATAATAGAACATCAAAACTTATAAAATTACAGAGTAAAAATTCTCTAAGAAACAAAATAAAGTTACTACTGTATAAAAATTTTAGAACTTTCCATTCAGAATTAAAGGAATCTTTTCCTTACACATTATGTGGTGAATTCAAAATTTCACCTTTATGTGAATTGATTCAATACCGTTAATTCACATAAAGGTGTGAAATTTTGAATTCACAGAAACTTGTAAATGAGGAGACAGTACTTAAAATTAATAAATAAACAACTTTTATATCAAAAGGAAACAAATGATAATCGATCCATTTACTTGTTCTGCATATTTAGCTCTTGACAAATTTCTTGTTTCGCCTTCAGTGGTAGTTTCAAGGACAATAGTAGAAATAAAATACCATATTTCGTTGCAAATAGAAATTCAGTGGCAATTAGTAATTTAAAATTTATTGACTCAAATGCTTTTAAAATTTGGGGGACCAAAAAAGCGCAATATAATGAGCGGCTACTGTATTACAGTATATACAGAAATTTTTAAAATGTGTTTAACCATAACAGAATAAAAAGAAAATAACAACTTTTACTGCTATTTTGCTGAGTTTTCCTTCTGTGTTTTCACTTTGTTTTGTCACTATTGCACTCACTTTTTATTCATTTTTTCTGTATTTCAACTCACTTTTTCAGAGGGGAAATGGCACTCCCAAGCCTACTGAGGACAACTCCAAGTGATGGATATGACTAAGTTATTTTGTGTTGTATAAACACCTGCATTCTTGTTGTTAAGATAGGATTGAAGAAGTTTATAAAGATTTTGAGGGCAGTGATGAGCATGTAATATGTGCAAGATAGAAGGTCACCATGCGTGATTAAAGGCTCCTCTAAAATCAATAGTGATTATTGCCGTATGCTGATTATTATGTTTAGTCTGGTGGATGTAATTAACAACCTGGCGGATGGCATCTACAGTACCTTTTTTTTAGAGTGTCCAATTCTCAGTGTCCAGTACCATGGAGTCATGGTACTGGACACTGAGATTCACACTGGTATGGATTGGCATTAAGATTCATATTTAATGAAACAATAATGGTTACGCTTGCTGTAGCAGGGACTTTGGTACAAAAAAAAAAAACTTGGAGTTTCTGTTGAAACTCTGGCTGCAACAATGCCAAGGTGATCATGAGTGAGGGTAAGGGAAAGAGGGGAAGAAGGAGGGATGCACTGTTACTGGTCTCAAATAATATGATATATCACATTGTCACTGTATTAAAATTTTATGCTCGATAGTTTTAATTTTTTTTAGTATATGGGTTACATTAAAAATTGTAAATACAGTGCACTGTATATATTAGATATTCCTTTGTATTGGTTAACTATTGGTGTTATAATTATTATGTTGTTGCCATGTGTTTGTAAGCTGATGAGGGGTCTTTGTACCCAAAATGCATCCTTACCTAAATTCGAAATGTGATTTTTAAAGACTAACTTTTTTGTAAAAGTTCTGGTCCTTTCTATCGGCTTTGGTGTGATAAGCCCTCCAAATTGTTAAATCCTATTTATTAAGTTATCTAATTTAACAATCATCCTAGCTTCACACAGAAACAGTGAATGCTTACAGGTCATATGCAATGACATTCTCAATAACATTTATCAGTGGAGTATTAAGCGTAGGCAACCCATTAACATAGACAAATGTGAAATCATGATAGTTGGTAAGAATGCACTACTCGTCAAGAAGCTTACCCTTCAAACAGGTGCTCATAGAATAAGGCAAACAACGGAAATTAAATATTTAGGTGTTATTCTTGATGAGAGACTTAACTTTACACCCCACATCAAATATATCACAAACAAAGCTAAAAAGACAGCCAACGCCTTCATTAGTATTACTAGGAACACGTGGCCTTGGCCGCTACTAAGCTTATTTACAGGTGTGCAATTCAGCCAGTACTCCTCTATGCGGTACAGGTCAGGGGCCACGTGGCTGCCAAAGTCCATAACCGTAAAAAACTGTTATCTATTCAAAGGATTGCAGCTCTCTGCATTTGTAAGGCTTATAGAACTGCACCCACTAGTGCCCTTTTGGTAATGTCAGGATTGACCCCCATTGACTTAGAAATTAAATGCATTCTTTGGCAAGAAAATCTCGTCACCTTACCCTGGAGAGATTATAATGACTTGGATGCTGACAAAATGATTAAAGTAGGTTTCCCCTAGTCTGACTTTGATCAATGATATCAAAAAATTAAGCATTGACAAAAATACCCTCCCGACTTATATTACCAACCCTCCCACCAGCTTGCCCCTGACATTTACTTCAAAGATCCACGTGATCATCCCATGTTTAGAATTTACACTGACAATTCCAAGATGTGTGACTAAGTGGGTGCCGCTTTTGTAGTTTAATCCAACTTAGGCCGCAAGCTTCACAATGCTTGCTTCTGTCTAGGTACCTCATACATACTGCTCAATAGCACAGCTGGAAACTTTAGCTATTTATATGAGCTTAATTTGCATTAGGCATAAAAAGGACAAAAGACATTAACTAAACTCCAACCATATGCCGAAAATCTATCGGGCTAGTTTTAGGCTAATTACTAAATGAATTACATAACCAATTTGGCTCTAAGAGATGGCGCCTAACGCCTACCTCTAGAGCCAAATTGGTTACGTAATTCATTTAGTAATTAGCCTAAAACTAGCCCGATAGATTTTCGGCATACGGTTGGAGTTTAGTTATGTTATATATCGGGTTTAGAATGTTTGTTCAAAAGACATTATTTACACTATTACATTTATTCTGATAGTAGGGTAACTTTACACAGAATTGCAAAGTCTGATAGCTGCTTAAAACTCGTCCATCTCATACACCACATCCTCAGATTATTAGACATTAGAATAGATTTTCAATGGGTCCCGGGTCATGCAGGGGTTCTCAGCAATGAGACCACTGACCAGCTTGCTAAAAAAGTTTAGTACTTTCAGTTACATTCCTACCTCGTACATCAACAATCACATCAATAAGCAAATCTTCATTCTCTGGCAAGGCTGGCAAGACACCACTGGTAGTCTCACCTACACTTTCATCCCCAAAGTTGACACTACTACAACTCTTCACCTCTTTTACCCTAGTTATACCCTCACTCAGCTACTTACAGGACACGGCATCTTTAAGCAATACTTGCATAGATTTAACCTTGGAGACAATCTATGATGCAATTGTGATATTCAGGAGGACCAAACACCATTTCACTTGTTTTTCACTGCAATAGGTACATTAGGTACAAATCACATTAGAGATAGTTTAATGAGAGCTGCTATTCTTGAAGGGTACAACTGGCCTTGCAACCCACACCAACTCATTCACATGTGTACAAGGTTCCATCATCTACTTGCATTCATATCCCTTAATGAGGCTCTTGAGACCCACTAAGGGATATGAATGCTCCAGGAGATGAATGGCAATTAGATTTCTCTTGCTTTGTTTCAACTGTCAGTATATAGCTGCCTTTCAACTTTACATTTTGATTCTTATTTTCTGTCTTCTTTTTCAGTCTAAATTTGGTTAATTTAAATTAGTTCTAGTTGTAAGTTAGATTAGGGACTCTTAAGGCTGTTATACACATTACAGAAATCCTTTGAGGATTAACCGTGATTTTTTTTCTATCTATCCACCTTTAAATAAAAATAATTCTTTATATGTTGGGAAATATTTTAATAAGTTTTGTAAATTACTATATTCGATCCAGCCAGTTATATCCGATTTTTTTTCGTCTGTTAAGTCCATCCTTTGAGGATTTCTGTAACGTGTATAACAGCCTTTAGCTTGGTTTCTAGTAAGGTTATGGTAGGTTAGTTTAGTTAGTAAGTTAATGTTTAAAAAAAAAAAATTTGGGGTCTTGCTTGTTTGTCTTCTTTTGGTTCATTCATCTCATCTAGTTTGTCGTTGTGTTTGTTTGCTTTTTTGTGATGTTTGTCTAGCTGTTAAGTAGTATTAAGATTCGTGCTTGCATTCAGCTTTATTAGCATTAAGTAGATATAAGTCTTCCTACTAACAGCCACTTGGCACTAACTTCTACACTTATCTATTCATGGCGGCACTCAATTACTGGTGTTTGTTTCACTCAGGTTCTCTTTTAGACCCTTCAGGGACTACAGCCTTACAGTCTAAAAACTGTACGCCAACATCAAATATAGTGAATATGGTAGTCATATGTATGCCATTCAGAGGGATCCTAGCTTTCTCTACTATCTATCTCCTCTCCCCCCTTCTTACCCTCTTTCTCTTACCCTTTTTTCCACAGGCTAAACATCTCGTGTATGGCCGATGTCTTTCATGTATGTATGTACCTTGACCCCATACAATCTAACCTCTTGCATCATCCTGAGAGATTGTGAGAAAGGCAAGTATTCCTGTCTTTCACTGCAAGACAGAGAACCAATGAGTGCAGATTTTACAGTGATGTAAGGTCAGAAATTCTTACACAAATACATGCTGTATTTAAGAAAATACAATATACATTTATTAATACATATACTGTTAACTAAATATTAATAGTGTCAAAGTGAACAATTAATAATTACCATTACTTATAACATTTTACATCTCAAAATTTTGACTAAAAAGGAATGTTAAAAATTTTTCACAAACTTAATCAGAACTATCTAAAATTTTAACTGAATAATTTTTAGTCATATACTGTGCTTATTCCAGTAAACAGTGCCCTCTAATAAACAGCACAGATGAAAGCTGAAAAAGTTATAGACAGTGTACTATTTATTAGAATAAGTATGGTATTTGTAAAATAAACAAATTTTAAAAAGTTTAAATACAATTTTTAAGTTCTGATAAATTACAAACCTTCAACTTCAGCTATTTCTTCCTCCGTAGGCCAAGTTTGTTCACCTTCCATTGGATCAAGAACATTCTCAGAATCAAGTGATTCCTGCTTTGATGCATCAGCTTTCTCCAACACTTCAACATCTTCACTATCAAGCTAAAAAAATAATAAAATAGAATTAATTATTTAAAAGATTTTATTAGGAAACTTATATTTTGTATCGTAATTTATTTGGAATGAAGATACCTAACATTTGTAGTACATAACTAACTATGCAAGGTATCTGTGACTGAAAAGAAACCAGATTGAATTTTTAAAAAATAAAGTTGATGTTTAATTTATTTCACTTTTATAGTGTTAAGAACTAGAATATGAGCTTGAAAGAAATTTTAAAATTTTCTCAAAAATCTGATTTTTGACACATTGTGATCTGTTATAAGAAGTTAGTCATTCTTAATACAGCAATGATAAAAGGTAAATGCACCGGTAGTGGACACTGCACGAGTAGTGGACACTTTGAACTTCAAATATGAGTAATAAGTTGTAGATGGCTTCACTGCTGAAACATACAGATCATTCAGTAGACAGAACTTCTATCTACTGAATGATTTGTTTCTCTACTTTTTATTATTATTTGTATATTTTTATATAAAAAAATGAAGATATTTAAATCACTTTTCATTTATACATGTAAGATTATTTTTAACATGACACTGGCTTATTGGTATGCATCATCAGTTACCATATACATAAATACACTAATGTCTGTAATGCTCCTTGGATCTACTATCTTGTACAGATCTTTACAATTAGTCAAAGAATTTTATAGTTGCAATAGTTACAACTAATTAAATACTATGAATTACTTATACATTACTTAGTAAAAATTTTTTTCAATATTAAAAATACTTCTAAAAAACTAAAAATTTAAAAGTTTTCTAACTATAAAACTTTCAGAAACCAAAGTTTTGATTCTGGAAGTTTCTGAAAAATTTAAACAAACTAAAAAATTATATAATAAACATAAAACATACTTAAAAGCATTTAAAAAAAAATTTTTTATTTTGTATTCAAGATTAAACTCTAGTTGAACTAACTTCAAGTGGAGTTTAATCTAAATTTACTATCTATAATGTTTCCATCTATAAGGTTTTTTTGTTCCTTCTAGATTTTAAACTTATTCACAAAAGTAAAATTATAGAAATTAAATAAAAGCTTTTGACACTAGATTGAAAAAGTTCATAGGAACATTTAGAGAAAAATATCTGCTTTCAAATAGTGTATTGTCAAGGAGGTTTTGAGTGATGACAAAGTCAGTCCAGTTTTCACTAGTTGGAACATGTTTTCCGAAAAAATTCATTGGTGAGTCATGCTGGATAAGTCAAGACAGGTATGCCAATGAGACAGACCTGATAGAAAGCTCAACTCCATTCTGGATTGATCGGCCAGCAGATCTAAAAATTAGATATAAGGTGACACAACCATTAGAGAAGGGCTAACTTAAGACTGTGAGGAGTCTGAACTAAGAACTTGTAATTAGAAGTAATCAAAATGTATTGCTGTGTATCTCTGTAAATAGTGTTAAATAAATAGATTTAAGTTGTGTTCAAGGATTCATAAGGTGTTCCTTTTGATGGACCAGAAATCGAAAGGCACGATTTAAACTTGTATTATTGTTTACTTTTGTAAGATGTAATAATGAAACTAGAAATTATCAAAAATATTTAAAACAAATTTGTTGTTTTTCAAATTTACTGTTTAAGAATTCGATTATTAAAAATCTAGCAATGAGTTGCATAACTTTCCTGGCTGTTGAGATTTAATTTGAAAATTAACTTTTATATTATTAATTATACTAAATGAAACATGCAATACCATAATAAGCATGTTGTAAATTATATTTTTCTCTAAATACATTTTATTGAAGAAATGAATTCTAAACACAATTTTTCTGCTGCAAAAAAATATCATGACAATAGTGGTGCTGCAAGTGGCTGTATTTTAAAGTTGAATTTATGTGCAGTCATAATGTTTTATGCATCAAAGTACAAGTCACATGACTTTTGGCACTGAAAACGTTACAGCTTATGTTTACATCAATTCGTTATTCCAGAGAATTTGTAACCTAGTAATTTTTTTTACCACTTTATTATAAATTTGAAATTATTCCCTTCAAGACTTGAAGAAATTCATTCATTAGAAAAAGTTTTTTTTTTAATCTCTCTTGAAAAGTTTGTTTTTTGGCATTTACATTATGACATTTCATGCATCAAATAAACAAAATTGTGTGTGGCATGATCTGTTATAAAAACTGTCTATATTTTTAATTATTATAAAATGGCAAAATGCTTAATTTTGAGCGTAGAGATAAGTTTTGTAATCTGTAAATTCTAACAATAATTAAATTCTTCATTAAATCCGACTCCATTGAAGATATGATATGTAATCACTATCTATCTCTCCACCTCCTCAACCATTCACCATCAAAATTTTTAGCATCAATGCTCTTATACATAAACTACTGTGCCAAATTTCATTTCTTACCCTTTATGCTATCCTGAAACATTAAAAAAAATAAATACTAACATAAAAAAAAACCCATGGAATTTTTTGTCATTTTTTAAACTTTTTTGGATTCAGGATGTAAGGAGTCAAAGTCTGATCATTATTTTATGTTTTGGGCATTATTTTTATTTGTTGTTATTTTCTTTTTGGGGATGTTTTATGTTTGAAGGATAGAAATTCCCAAAAAACCTCCCAAAATATACTAAATTCAAAATTAAAACAAACAAATACTCATTTACATAAGTGAGTGATCCTGTAATGCTCCAATATGTAAATAGTGCAGAATTACATTTGTAAGCAGATAAAAGACGACACATCCATTCAACAGTGTGGTGTAGCTCTCAAAAGTGACCTTTTTTTGAATCAAATTGTTGTCTGGCATTCTTTTTGGTGAAGTGATTAACTCATAAGAGGTGTATTCATTGCTTTTGTATTGATATTTATTTGATATTGCAGAGATTTAATTAATTTTATGTCCCAAATTGGAAAAAAGAATTTCTTATATTGATTGTTTTTTTTTTGCTTGTACATAATTGATCTTGGCTTGTTTTTGAATATTTAAAATATATTTATTACTAACTTCTTGTTTATAATCATTGTTTATATATATATATATATATAACTGTTCAACTTAATAAATATTGTTGTGGATTTTTGTTTACATAAGTGTCATTTTTCAGTTGTCATATTTTTCTTTCCCATTAAGTCCAGGCCTGGTACATGATAGAATCCTAATTTTCTACAACCATTTTTTTCGGACTTAGTTTCAGTCACAAATGTGAGACCCAAAAGAGCCCTGGGTCTAAATTAATATTTTATTAATTTTGTAAAATAATGTCACCAAATATTACTTCATTTTTGGTGAGAAAAATACTGTTTTAACGTGGGAATAGGCAGATAACAGATGTCACTTCCTTTCACTGAAGTTAGTACATCCTCTGACTTTCCCTTAACTGGTAAAAATCCCGCTCAGATGGGAAATGGTTACCCCTCATTCATTCCCCTTTCATCCGTTCTCACGAAAGAGTTACTGGCCGATGATTGGTTGGTATTCCGAAGATATACAGGGAACTTGTCAGAATTCGGGGAGTTCAGCGACAGATCTGAAAGCGTCAAAACTCCACATACGTTTCCCTCCGGATGACCAACGTCCTTAGACGAGTCACATACAGAATAAGTCTAGAGTCTGCACATAGAAATTATACTTGGATTTTGTGCACATAGTGATCTCCCATACAAAGAAGTAAATGAACTTTATCTCCAAAGTTACATACAGAGATGAAGACGAACGACAACTAAACAGGTCGTATGTTTTATAACGTTTTGTGAGCTCTCTCTCTCGATCGCGAATAGGGTATAATATAAGTTTAATTATCTCCTGATTTGTATATTAGTTGTAGTAGTTCTATCTCTCGTTCATTTATATGTTTGTATGAGTTTATTTCCTTGTTTTATTAAATTTATTATATCGTTTTTAATTGGGATGTCTCTTGTTTGCGTGACCGAATCAGATCGCATATGCGTGTTAATCCGCGTATAATAAGATTGATTAACTGGTGTCGGGACCCTGACAATTTGGGATAAAGACTTCACAGTCTTGAATCCCCTTTTCCTAAATATTACCGCCCTCCCGGTCAAACGAATCTTGACATAAGATCGGATCTCCCGACCCGAAACTCGGAGAACTATTCTCACGGAATAGTGCCGATTAAGTGTTACACGAGTATTCCTACTCCGTAACCCCGGCTACTCTCACACATGGTATGTTACAAGGGGGCCTCCTAACATGGAAATTTGTAAAAAACTTTGAAAATCAAATTTAACATGATTCCAATAGTTTTCCTTGTTAGGAATTTTACTTTTCCAGCTGTTATGTATATTTATACATAACAGCTGGAAAAGTAAAATTATAAATGATAGGAATTAAATAAAAATTTTCAAATAAAATTTAAAAACTATTTCAAACTATTTATAATTTATATTTTACCATCAAATGAGATATTATATATCATAAATTTGCTAAGCTATTGACAAAACCACAAAAATATTACCATTATATCAGATTCTTTTTTTCTTTTCTGTAATAATGCATGAGGATGCATACATTTATCAATTTGTGATAACTGGAAATCGCCCCAACCAGAGATATGTATTAATTTGTTGACATGAAGAGGCTGTCCTCTAATGTAGCCTGACACTTTTAAAGTTCCTAAAATTTTCTGTGGGGTAAAAAAGCATATATTTCTATTCACATGTAAAACATAAACATTTATATAAACATATAAACAAAATAAGAAATATTGATATCAGATTATATAAACACAAAATAATAATTATATCTAAAAGAAATATAACATTATCATCCAAATTTTCATTTTATGGTGAAAGTTAATAAACTGAACCATCTTAGGTTCTTAAATAATTCCAGATTAAATTATCCAAGAGAATACAAATGAATAGTGTTTATGCATAACTGAAGAACTAAAGATACTGTGCTTGGAAAAATTATACAAAAAAAAATTGATTTAGGTCCAATGCTCTGGTTGTTACAGAAAAAAATATTGAACCCTCAAACAATAAAGAATTCTAGAAAATATATTCAACTTAGATGTCTCTTCTAAAACATATTTTTTCAATTTGAAGTTACATAATAAATTCAAAAATCTTTACAGGCATTTATCATTACAAGAAGGTTTGATAAGTGTTAACAAGTTTTTAATATTATTCTTATGAATGCCTAATATATTATATATTATTATGTTTTTACTGTAGAAATTTCTGAAAATAGGATAAGATTGCCAAAAATATTTAAAATTTATCTGTCATTTTCTATAATATTATCATAATTTAAAATTAAAAATGGAATTTTTTTATAACTAAATAAATAGAATAAGAATTTTTTTAAAATAATTAAATTATTTTAACTCACCTGATTTGTATGATCATTTAAATTCTGATTTGGCTCAAAAATAACTACTTCTGATAACATATGAGCTCGATGATCTCTAAAGCTAAGACTTTTTTGTTTCTGACTGCCTAAAAAGCGCAATAACAACAAAGCCTCCTGGTGTGAGTCAACTGAGTGAAGTTTTTCATCAGGAAACCTAAAAAGAAAAAGAAAAAAAAAACACATTTAATAAAATCTAAAATGAAAATATACACTGTAAACAAAACAGTATAAATGCCATTAACTAGAATAATAATAGAAGGATTTGCCAGATAATCAAAAGCTAAACATAATAGAATTTGCATTTACAGCACTTTATTTAATTGAAAACCCAATTTAACAGAAAGTTTGTTAATGTTCTCACCTTTATCCATTTAATCATTACAGTAGACCCCCTATAACGTGGGTTCCTATAATGTGAATTCCTATAACGCGGTGAAAAATTCCAACAGTATTCATATAAAGACGCTAAAAGGAACGCGTAAAACATCATCGCTGACTCGTGTCGCGACAGGATTGGTCGAATCTGGACCAACAGTAGACGAGCAGCCGAACTACTTACACGCTACGAAGAGTTTAGACGGGTAAGTTGAGTTTACTATCGTCTGTACAATATTAACTTAATTTATTTTAACTTTATAATAATTATATATATACTTTGTTGACATGAAGAGGCTACACCACTCTATGGAGCGTTTAGGCAAGTAAGTTAAGTTTACTATCGTCTGTACAGTATGTAAATTAGGTACCGTAAGTCTAATACAGCACTGTAATTTTATACATTTCTTATGAAAGAAACATTTCTTATTCAACAGCCATAAAAATTATTTATATTAATGATGTCTCCAAAGTTCAACGAAGTTTTCGCAGAAAAAAACTTATCAGAAATCGCCTGCCATTTGGTGCGCTGCTCCACGACGAAAACAAGCTTAAGCAATGGCGACGTTGCGGTGCACACTCAGTAAGTAATCCTAAAATTTTTTGTTTGTAGCATAGTTTATATGGATTATTCCCAAAAAATTATGTGTTTTGGAAAGGTTGAGTCAAATTAGTCTAGAATCAATTAATTTTATGGAAGAAAACCTTTCAAACAGCCATAGTCCGTAAACTGCACACGTGTCGGGCTGTGATTGGCTCGTGTATTTAAGGATTCCTACAACGCAAAATTCGTATAAAGCTGAACGTATCTACCGCGTTATAGGGGGGTTTACTGTAATTATAAACTTTTTTGATCAAAGGATAATGTAATATTTTCTCATTTATTTGCATCCTTTCTACATGAAAGCAGAAACTAAAGAGGAACAAGAGTATATATTTTCCCTCTATTAATAAATTATGAGTTAGTTTCAAACTAACTCATAATTTTCCCTCTATGAAACTAATTCATAATCACTACATTTTCTTATCATGTACTAATTGTTTAAGATTCATTTGTACATAAGCTACAAATTCTGTTTTTTCTTTAACAATCTCAAATACCAAGATTTTGGGATTAAGTGGATCTGCAACTAATCAAATGCCATTAACTTGGAGTTTGATAAAACTGCAGATCTGCAGAGTTGTGAAATATCTCTTTCACAGATATTAAAGAAAACAGTTGAGAGCTCAGCTAGAAATTAATAATTTTTTTTTACTAGTAATCAAAAACTAAAGTAAAACATTATATAAATTAATAATAATAACAAACAAAAAAATTACAAATAAGATTACTTTCTATATAAAGAATTTTCAATTAGATAAGTGTATTTTTTAAAATAACTTTTATCCATCAGAATAATTTATTCTATAATCATACAAATAATTTAAAGAAGAGTTAAATAAAAATCAATCTTTCAAAATCTTATAGTTAGTGCAGATCACATCAGATTCAGCTTTCTTGGACATAATACGAACTTTTCATTAATAATTGCAAATCAAAATTGCATTCATTTTGTTTTATAATATTTCCACAATGTATAAATTGTATTAATTGTATTAAAAATATTCTGTGAGAATTCAAACTCTAACAAAATTTGGTCATCGATTTCATCATACCTATTCGATAACTGTTGTCATGTACTACCTGAGAACATCTCAATTTACCTTTCCTCGATGGCGAAAGCGACCCTTTCCCATGATCCCGATCTCCCAGCCATGTGTTACTGATTTTAACATCATAATTAATGATCGAAGGAGACAGTCATTGCCTGTTTCATCACAGATATAGAACCCTGTGTCTCTCTATAGGAACACCAAATATGATCTCCTGTCGATAATAGATTATTGTCTCCTCCGATTCGTCTCCATCTCCAGAGTCATTGCCTGTTCATCTAGGATTAAAGTAATTGAAATTTCCTGTGTCAGTGCCAAATTGTACTCTATCGGATTTTCACCTTACCCTTGACCAATGTCACCTTTGAAGACAAACCTTCCGATCCAGAACTTTCCCAATGATAATGTATGAACTCATAGTCTCCTTAGTTCCAATGAAACCTAATTATTACCTTGTAGACACCATCAACTTCAAGTATTTATCGACTCGCAAACAAATGTAAATTCTCTCACTCTCTCTCTCTCTCTCTCAAGCCATGCTGTGGTGTCTAGACCTATTTTAGCTCAATATATTATAAGTTATTTAACGAGAAAATGTATAATATGTATTTTCCTTTACAAATAAACAGTTATTTGTTTTTTTAATCTAGATTCTGAGTGTCTTGCTTCCAACGCTCTCTCTCACTCCTCCATCCCAAATCTGACCGCTTACACATGCTTCTCGCATGACTTAATCCAACTTAATTCACCATCATGGCTTCCGTGTCAACGAGACATGGTGGTGTTGGTCCTGATGAGGCTCCAAACAAGTTCTGACCCTCCAGTCACAATTCTATTTTCCGTATATTTTTAATTTAAAAGGTCTATGGTCATTTCTTAATTATTGTTTATCCATTTTCATCAGTCCAATGAAATAATTCAAAAAATATGCATCCTACAAAAAAATCATTGAACCAAAAATGTCAGATTTTAAGGGAGTCACAAGCTGGTTATCAGTTTCATCATAGATGGCACTAATAATAAGCTTCTAAGAAGAGTCAATTCTAATATATGAGGTATTAAGCAATAAGTTTTCTTTGTTTATTACAACTAAAATTAAGTCTTAACTTAATAATAAAAGAGAAAAAAAAACAAAATCCAAAATTTTGGATTTTACAAAGTTGTAACATTAAAATTAAATTACATTTCAATGTTATTCAATTTAATCTCAATGTTAATTCTGAGAAGGAATATCAAGATTTTACAGATATGTATGTTAATATAATGTTTTATAATTAAAATCTTTTAATTTTAATTAAAAAGTGTCTTAATTATAATTATAAAATTAATTTCTTTCACAGAAGAAAACAACAATGGTAAAATATACATGCAATTTTACAAATATTGCTAATTACAGTAGAACACCTCTAATCCGTCACCTTTGGGACTAGGGGTATGGTCGAACGCAAAAAAGGTCGGATTATCAGAAAAAAGTAAAATAAACAATCTTCCCCTTTGTCCAGTCTTTGTAGCACTGCTAATTTTTCATTCAATGAAAGAGTAACGTGTTTACGTTTCACTCCTGAATGTTGAAAACACGCACAAAACTGTACATGTACACACAATGTAAAACATATACTGTAACAAACACAGAAAAACGCCACGGACGGTGAGTCACCGACGAGTCGGGACAAGTTTCTCGACTCCGACCACAGTCGGATTAACCAGAGTGACTGACTAGAACGGTTCTACTGTAGTAGCAAATGTAAAATTATATTTAATAGCTTAAATAAACAATTATAATGCAGAAACCTTTTTTCTAAAATATTCTGGACATTTTTTTTTACATCTGTTCTTCTTTTAATAGGAACATTTTCTAATCCCTAAATAAAATAATTATATTTATTAATCACTAGTTAATAAAATAAAACATTTTATGAAAAAAATAAAAGCTACCTGTATGACATGGGTTGTAGATGGAAGACCTTGAGCAAATAATAGAGTAAGAAGCTGCTCATCAATTTTACCATCCAGAGAATGCAAAAACAAAACCGTATTTGCTATCTATTATCATTTAAAAAAGTAGTAAAGTTAATAAATTTTATTTAAATCAATATGAAATTTTTTAAAATGTTTTTCATGAATTATGTATAAATTTTAATAGTTAGTTAATTTTGATCAAATTACATTACTTTCTAAACAATTGTTAAAAAAAGTTGCTTCCTAAAATTTTGTCTCTTTGTCCCCCAAATATGCTTAAGGATGCTAATAACAAAGGAGCAATTGCTTATTGTCTCATCATCACAATGCAAGGCTGCAATTTTTAATCACATTTTAATTTAAATTACCACATTACTTCTGGTCCAGACTGGAAGTTTGTATATAGTTAATCAGAGCCTTCAGTTCCTAAGCTTTCCATATCTAGTTTCAATATTCACCTAACTCTGTTTTCAAAATTAAGGAAGAATGAACAGACAGACAGTGACAGTGGGAATCTAGAGATCTGCAATTTGAAAACTGCAGCCCAATGATAGAGACAGTTTTAGTTTATTGAAAAAATCTTCTACACTATTCTCTTGCATAATTATTCTATTAACAAGCCACCATTTAATACACTAAAGCCCCAACTAGAATGTTAGGACTCCTATATTTAGAGACTCCCAATATCATAAAAGTATCAATACCAGTATCATGAATAGTTTTAAAATATTGATACTGGTATTGATCTTAAAGTATTGACACCAGCCAGCATCAGAATTGAGTATTGAAACCAGAAATCTTGCTGGCTGTTGCTGTTCAGTCTGTGCTTAATTTTGAAACATTTTGTGTAATTGAAACTTTAAATTTTAACGTAAAATAACGTGCTTCATTCTAGTTAGTTATTATTAATAAATTATTAAAACTGATATCTAATATAACTGTTAACAATACTGTATCAGCTAATTTGAGATTTTAATATATTTCAAGTTTTTCAAATAATTGGCAAATGATTTATAAATAGTAATCTACACTAAGCATACGGTATACACACCTGAATATGAAATTTGACGTAATAAATTTATTGATTTTTGATTATTAATATTTTTTAAGTAAATTTAACTTAACAAAAAATAGTGTAAGATTTTGTTTCAGTTTCAGCCAAAATTGACTTTAAAACCCAAGTATGGTTTTGGATTTGGCTGCAAAATCTAATTTTCATTGACTCTCACTTGTCTATGGAAAATATAATGATACTAGATCCAATAGCCGAGGAAAAGTATTGATATTGGTATCAGTATTGGGTCAAAAGTATTGAATACAAAGTATCAATATGATATCAGTATCGGCAGTATCGGGAATGTCCCTATCTATATGTCATACTTGCCAGAAACAAACAAAAGAATTAAGTAAGCATATTATATCAGGATCCTATAAAACTGTTTGCTCTAATATGATTTTGTTGTATATATGAACTTCAAAAAAATATTTATGGAAACAGTTCATATTTTAAGAAACAATCAGTGTAATCCAACAGTGAGCCTTCGTGAACAATGGACCATCTTATTAAAATAATTAATTATTAAACTCTTAGATTAATTCCGGTAAATTGGGTTTGTTTATGAAATAACTTAAATATTAAAAAGTTTTATTATATATATTTTTATAATATTTTTACTGTTTTTGTTGCTATTTTTAATCATTCTAAACTTTCAAAATGTTATTCTAAATATATGTTCCAAAAATCTACTTTTTTTGTTTCTAATCTAATTTATGTTTTAATGTTCTTATTTCATTTTTTTCTAATTAGTTTATGATGATTATGTAAATATTATCAAAATTACTTCAAATTATATTTTATAAGTTTACATTTTGTTTTTTGAGCATATTTAATAATTTTACACAACAAGTGCCGTTTTAACCAATATTTTTTCATGGAAAAATAATGTAACACCAGTGACACATGCATGGGTCGATTANATTGGTTGGTATTCCGAAGATATACAGGGAACTTGTCAGAATTCGGGGAGTTCAGCGACAGATCTGAAAGCGTCAAAACTCCACATACGTTTCCCTCCGGATGACCAACGTCCTTAGACGAGTCACATACAGAATAAGTCTAGAGTCTGCACATAGAAATTATACTTGGATTTTGTGCACATAGTGATCTCCCATACAAAGAAGTAAATGAACTTTATCTCCAAAGTCACATACAGAGATGAAGACGAACGACAACTAAACAGGTCGTATGTTTTATAACGTTTTGTGAGCTCTCTCTCTCGATCGCGAATAGGGTATAATATAAGTTTAATTATCTCCTGATTTGTATATTAGTTGTAGTAGTTCTATCTCTCGTTCATTTATATGTTTGTATGAGTTTATTTCCTTGTTTTATTAAATTTATTATATCGTTTTTAATTGGGATGTCTCTTGTTTGCGTGACCGAATCAGATCGCATATGCGTGTTAATCCGCGTATAATAAGATTGATTAACTGGTGTCGGGACCCTGACAATTTGGGATAAAGACTTCACAGTCTTGAATCCCCTTTTCCTAAATATTACCGCCCTCCCGGTCAAACGAATCTTGACATAAGATCGGATCTCCCGACCCGAAACTCGGAGAACTATTCTCACGGAATAGTGCCGATTAAGTGTTACACGAGTATTCCTACTCCGTAACCCCGGCTACTCTCACACATGGTATGTTACAAGGGGGCCTCCTAACATGGAAATTTGTAAAAAACTTTGAAAATCAAATTTAACATGATTCCAATAGTTTTCCTTGTTAGGAATTTTACTTTTCCAGCTGTTATGTATATTTATACATAACAGCTGGAAAAGTAAAATTATAAATGATAGGAATTAAATAAAAATTTTCAAATAAAATTTAAAAACTATTTCAAACTATTTATAATTTATATTTTACCATCAAATGAGATATTATATATCATAAATTTGCTAAGCTATTGACAAAACCACAAAAATATTACCATTATATCAGATTCTTTTTTTCTTTTCTGTAATAATGCATGAGGATGCATACATTTATCAATTTGTGATAACTGGAAATCGCCCCAACCAGAGATATGTATTAATTTGTTGACATGAAGAGGCTGTCCTCTAATGTAGCCTGACACTTTTAAAGTTCCTAAAATTTTCTGTGGGGTAAAAAAGCATATATTTCTATTCACATGTAAAACATAAACATTTATATAAACATATGACGTTTATAAATTCACTTCTAAGTTCAGTTAACACATAGACAACAGATTCAATCACCCATTAATATTGCGTAGATTATGCAGCTAATTCTGTTGTCTATGCGCTAACTGAACTTAGAAGTGAATTTATAAACGTCAAGTGTTTATATAACTATTATATAAACATTTATATAAACATTTGACGTTTATAAATTCACTTCTAAGTTCAGTTAACGCATAGACAACAGATTCAATCACCCATTAATATTGCCCTAATTTTGCCTCTTCATTTAACGAATCGAACACCAATATACACGCCGAAGACACTGCATGTATTGTATTACGAGCGAACTGAAAAGATCAAGAACAATGTTCTCAGATGCCTTCAATTAGGAAAGAATTAAGATTAATATTTTAATATATGTATGTTGGTATATATATATATATATATGAGAATTTTTGCTCAAATATGATCATTTTAAATGGCAGATATGATAAATTGTAACCTCAAGTCTGGCGACGTAAGTGCCATAACGTTGCCATAACTGTTAAATCAATTATGGCCGACTCATCAATGGAAGGAAATAAGTTACTTTTACAGTTAGACAAAACTATTAAGCAGCTCTACAGTTTCTCCTCCCAAAAAAGAAGAATTAAATTAAGAATTAAAGAATATGGTATAAACTTTATGTAGAAAAGAACCATCATCACAATGGTTTTACCATACAGCATTGCAGAGTCTTTCCTGAATTAATGCGTGGCAAAAGGAAATGATATTCAGTATGGTAAGAAAAATACAGAGATAAAAAATGCAAACGTTCGAAGGAAAAAACGTTCCATATTGATACGTCTTTTCACGTATACTATGAAACTTTGTATATATAACATCGGTGGTCAATGTACTGTACTTGTGCTGTATACTTTTTCAAGGTCATAGGTCAACTTTCAAGGTGAAATGATGTGGCAAATTGCCAAAAACAACGTAAACATTTATCGAGGTCAAAGGTTAGAATTTTTAAAGTAAGAGATATACAGGGAGAATAAAAAAACATTCGGAAAATATTTAAAACTTGTAAAAATAGATTTAGAATCATAAATATCAGGCTTTTTTAAATAATTTATAAAGATAAATAAGGAAATAACATCATTTTTGTACGTATTTTATCAATTTTGTAATAGATACTAGTGTTATTTCCACTGTTTCCACCTTACCACATTTTTAAAAGTAAGTTTATTTTCACTTATTTTGCAGTATTCTTTGCATTTTATAAATATATTTATTATAATAATGCCAAAAGTTAAGAGACGGAGCTTTAAAAGAGTGAATTCATTCTTCTAAAGCTCTACCAGCATTACTAATGAAGAGTAGTAAAGAATTCCGGCAACGAGTTGTTTAACTTTCCCGGCGACATTTAAAACTGCGAGTGTGGCGCCATCTATTATAATATTTTATTATTAAATTTTAAAAATATTTTTATATATTATAAAATGGCAAAAAGCTTAATTTTGAGAGTACGGATGGATAAAAAGCACGGGAGTTATTAAGCTTCAAACAGGGTGAATAAAGTCTTGCCTCCCACACACTAACATTTATACATACAGAAAATAACACCGAATTGTTTTGCATTATCTCGACGTTTCGACGTCTCCAGTCCTAAAATGTAAAAGTCCTGAGAGTTCATTTTTCGACCGATCGCCATACTTTCCTCTGCTATATATTACAGAGCCGGAAAAGTAAATACAATGACAATTTTTGATTAAATGCACGCTCAGGCTATATCTGAATCAGGCTGTTTCTAGTATCATTAAATAGGGATAGGTCTGATAAACAGATTTACTGGAATTTATCTGATCAATGCAGATTATCAATGTAATCAACATTAACAACGCTTGTACCAGGAATACCGACCGAGGTAAGTAAAGATTCCCGGAGGGTAATGGAATTTTGAAATTTGGAACACAAGGAGACAATGGAAAATTTGAAAATTATCTGAAATTCTCGAAATAAGAACAATGACAACTGTGGGAAATTCATTAAGTGCTTTATTAGTATACTTCATACAACTTAATCAAAATACAGTTGTCCCTCTATAGTCCGACATTTTTTAATCCGACATGCTCAGTAGTCCGACGCACCTCCCGTCAAGGTACCCCCGCGTTTTTTTATGCAGCGAGAGTGTAGCGAAATGACGTCACGATCAGTATTGGCCAATTAGAAACCAGTTTCAGTGTGTTCGCTGTAAAGCGCTTCTCGAGCGCTGCATAAAAAAACGCGAGGTACCCGTCCCCATTACGTGTCTGCTTGCACAGAAGCATGTCGCGATGTGAATCTCCCCATCCAATTCTTACTCGATGACACACATTTCGTGTGTTTTATGTGAGCAGTTCTGTTCGAACAGTTGGAGTAGAGAATATTGTAAGTTACTGCTAGCAAAACAATGCGAAATATGTAATTATTTTCGGTAATCCGGACACTTTTGGTAATCTGACACACCTTTGGTC